TAAATCCCCAGCCCCTAGATACTGGGTTTTGTGAAAGACTTTATCTGCATTTATTAAGTTGATCGTGTGATTTTTTTTCTCTTTGCTTATGTTTATGTGATAATTTTTTATTGATTTGCATATTTTGAACCATCCTTGCTTCCCTGGATTTAAAGTGATTTATATGGTCATGGTGTATGATCTTTTTGATGATTTATTGCTGTTTGCTAGTATCTAATTAAGGATTTTTGTATCAATGTTCTTTGCAGAAATTGGCCTGTAGTTCTTCTTTTTGGTTGTGTTCTTGTCTGGTTTTAGAATGAGGATGTTAGCTTCCAAGTATGATTTTGGAAAAGTATTCCCTTCCTCTCGATGTCATTAAAAACTTAAGACATACTGGTGTTAGATCTTCTTGAAGTTCTTAGAGAATTCAGCCGTGAATCCATCAGGTCATTACTGCTTTTGTTTGTTCAAGATTTTTAAGTCTTCTTGGTTCAATTTTGACAATTCATACGTGTCTAGGGATCTCCGTTTCTTCTGAGTTCTCCAATTATTTGGCATATATGTATTTTTGGCATATATATTTGTGAAGTAGTTGCTAATAATTTTCTGGATTCAATGTCCATTTTAATTTGCCTTTTTCATTTCTAATTGCATTGAGTTGTGACTTTTCTTTTATGTTTATTCTTTCAAAGAACTACCTTTTTAATTTTAAGTTCTACTCTGATCTTTGTAATTTCCTTCCTAGTACAAGCTTGGGTTTAGACTGTTTTGTTTTTCTGAGACCTTGAAATGCATCACTTTGTAGTCCACACAGGCCTCAAACTCACAGCACTTTTGGTAATGATTTTACTAAAATCATTACCAAAAGTGCTGGGATTACAGGCATGTACCACCACATCTGGCTTCATATATGTTTATAATTGTTATTTCTTCCTGTTAAATAGTTATTAACCAGGATGTATTATCCTTCTTTACTTCTTTTGATCAGTTTTGGCCGAAATCCAGTTTATATGAAAATAGAATAGCTACTCCATCAAGTACCTATTCTGTGGAATGTTGTTTTCCATCCTTTAACTTTTAATCTGTGAATTAATTTTCGTGTTTAATGTGTTTCTTGTATTCAGCACACTGAATTTTGTTTGTTGGTCCATTCAGCTAATCTGTGTCTTTGGATTAGTGAGTTGAGTCCGTTTACCATTGATAGTTATAACTGATAGGTATTGTGTTTTTCTGTCTTGATATTAATTTCCTATTGCTGTTTTGCTTTCTTTCTCTTCTACTTATTTGCTAGCCCTAGCTGAGGTATTCATTTTATTAAACCTTTTGGTGTGGTTAGTTTCATTCTCGGATATCCTTGAGAATTTTTTGAAGTGTTGGTTTGTCAATCATAAATTTCGTTAGATTTTCCTTATTGTGGCAGTATCTTACTTTTCCATGTTTTGAAAGATAATTTTGTAGTTGGCGGTGCTTTGCTTTGCTTTGTTTTGATTTTTTTTTTTTTTTTTTTTTTTTTTTTTTTTTTTTGGTAATATGTCGCACCTTTTGTTGAAATGTGGCCATTTTTGTGAGGGTAGAAAGTTTGATCTCAAAATAATGTTCCATTTGAGGCTCTTTTATACAGAAATTACCATCATGACTGATATTCAGACTATCTTTAGTGTTGTAAGACTCACATGGTAAACATGAAATGTCTATACTTACTCAAAAGTGTACACTCAGTACAAAAGCACAAAGACGTTAATACTGTAACAGTTGTTTTAAGATACATGGGTAACAGGAATGAACACTGAGGTACTAGGATTATCTGATGACACAATTAATGAAACTTTTAATTGGCATTCCTTTCAGAGGATTAAAATCATTACCAAAAAAGTACTTTCAATGTATAGTGGTTTTACCATGTCACAACAATAGACTTGTCAAGGCAGGTGAAGTACATGAATGTAGAGCACCTCACAGAACTGCAATCAAGTGCAACAATCAATAATACTGAAAAAAGTTTACCATCTGACCAGGGGCTAATACTTTCAAGGCATTCAATTTCCTTATCCTCTGCAGTATTCTAAGCTATTCACATTGAGAGTCACATTCATTGTAGTACTTGCAACAAGAGATACATAACCAGTAGTTTTAGCTAAAGATGGGAAGGCATTCCTCAGGTTGTACATAAAAGTAACTGTATAAATAGACTAGTAGCAGTCACTGACAAGCTGCTTAAATGAATGGTGTCTCCTTTATTCATTGTGTTGGAAGGGTCCAGTGGAAAGGGAACAAACAAAAAATAAAACCTAATACTATTCCAATGAACTGAGCTGGAAAATTGAAAGCCTCTTAAGATCCAGGTGCACTTGACTGTCATTTTATAGTGGTTTCCCTTTCAGTGAAACATTGCCTCCCAGTTTCTCTCCAGGTATTGAATGGCCCTTAATAACATCCAAGCCATTTACTTGCCACTCACGTTTTTTAACGGTGTACTTTCAAGAGCCCAGAATATAAATAGTAGATCTCCTTTCTTCGATTCTTTTGTTTTGTATTTAGCATCGTACAAAGCATATCAGCAATTATTCAAGGTAGCAACTTCACAAAAGGATGTGTAGGGATCCTTTACAGTATCACCAATGTCACCCACCAAGATCTGCTTTGCTTCCTCTACAATTATTTTTTGTCATTGCTTAAACAGAAGAGAACTGCTTTCTTTTGCTTTTTGATCGCCTCTTACGTACAAGATTTCCTAACTTTCATATCATTAAAAACATTGATGACTTCATCCACTTAACTCCAAATGCCATGGTGCCTGCAATAAGATGGTGGCAGTGGCTTGGGCTTGGTGTTACTTGGAGTTTGTTTTCTTTACGAACTTGAATGACTTCATTCCATGTTCTTCTTGCCTTCAAGGTTTGTGTTAAGAAGTCTGTTGTAATTCTGATAGGTTTTCCTTTACTGGTGATTCACTGTTTTTTTTCTAGCAGCCTTTAAGATTCTGTTCTTGTGTTGTATTTCTGGTATCTTAATAATTATGTGGTAGAGGTGATGTTTTTCTGATCATAGGTATTTAGGATTCACTATGCTTTATTTACATGTGTATTAAATTCTTTTTCCATGTCCAGAAGGTTTTCTGCTGTTACTTGTGTAAACAGGTTTTTATGCCTTTGTGCTGATTTTTCTCTAATTCCAATTCATTGGTCCTCCTTGAGTTACCTAGGAATTGTTGGACCCATCTTTCATGTTCCCTTATTGTTCTTATTATATCTCTAATCAATGATCATTGCCGTCTCTCTTCCTCTCCTCTAGGTCGGACACTGTCTTCACATTGGTGAAGGCACATTGGTTACTTCTGCTCCCCATACTTTGAATCATATTTTAGATTTCCTGGATGTTTAGACCTTTCCTGTGTTCATTACTTCCTATGGTGGTCATTCATGTTTTGCATCTCTTTCTTTAGCTTCATTAGCTGTTTATTAATATGTTCTCTGGACTTGCTGATTGTTTGTTTCATTAGGGTCATTATCTGATAAATTATAGCTTCTTTAAATTTTCCAGGTGCCGGGGCTGGGGGTTTAGCTCAGTGGCATAAGCGCCTGCCTTGCAAGCAGGCAGTCGTGAGTTCGATCCCTGGTACCGATAAAAAAGACAAAAAAAAAATTTTTCCAGGTGCCTTATTGAACTGTTTTAATTTCCATTGGTTCCCTTTCAAATGTATCTGTTGTGTAGTTTATGATTTCCTACTTTTCTATGACCCTTGAGCTGATTTGGGGAGGAATTGGCGGTGTTCTGAGGCATTTGGTTGCCTTTTTTCTGTTTCTCTGTTTTTGTTTTTATGCTGGGGTTTGCAAATTATTCACTCCAGTGCCCATTCTTCTTGGGAGTGCAAGCCACGGTGTCGTACATGACCCACAGGCAACCAGATATTGGCATAGATAATAAATTGTTCGCCAACCACAACATGTTACCTTGGCTATCATAAATTCAGCAACAACAGTGGCGTCAAATTTCAGCTGAATAATGACACACCCCAAGAACAATTCATGAATAGCCCTTAACCAAAAGAAAAAGTACTATGATTTAAGTGAAGACAGTTAGGTCACTGTTATATTGACTTACAGTACTTCAAACCACTAATTTTTGCCAGGTATAGGCAGCAATACCAGAACAGTACCAGAGCACATACTACTAGACTTCTTCAAGACCACTGCCTATGATGGTTATTCCCACCAAACCTGGCCTCACACAACAGACTACAGGTCACTTTTTGGGCTTCCATGGGAATGCTTCATTGAAGTTTAGGGCCTTGTTTAAATTACAGAGATCTAAATCCCTATTGCCATGGTTGATACACTATGTCAACTTGAGAAGTTTACAAGTTTAACTGAGAGACTCAGCAGGGAGCCACAGTCCTTACTTTGTAAATTATCCTCATGGTGGTGAGAGCTGCATACATTATAAAGGAGAAGAGGCTTCTACCCCACTTTTGCTCTAGCTGCTGCCTTGAAATGTTGCCCCAGTGCCACACCACCCTGCCTCCAGCTAATTATGGACTGAAACCTCCACAGATAATGAGCTAAAGAAACCTTTCTTTCCTTTATTTTCGGTGTCAGATGGTTTTGTCCCAACAACCAGAGAAAAGTAACCAAGTCACCTGTTTAGCCCTCTCCAGTCCTAACACCAAAGTTGTCTCACCTGGAGAGTGATAAGGGTATCACTTTAGTCTTGAAGCAGAATACCTGGGTATTGGTGTTTCTTCATCAGGTCTGTTTGTTGGTTACCAAGTCTGTTACTTTATACTATGAGGGACATGGACTAGGGATAGAATGTGCAGAATACATCTGACTTTAGATAAAACTGTTTCACATTAGCTTTAATTTTTTCTCTTTTTGTTTAACCACAGTTCAGTAAATACTTTCTCACTGATGATATTTCAGAACTTTTGCTTGATACTTGAAACAGAATACTTAGATGAGGCCCTACATGAATGTCATGAGTAGTGGATACATTTCTCATGTTCTCTATTTTCTCACCAGTTCGATCCTTTGGTACAGAAGACAGACCAACAGATCGTCCAATACCACCTCGAGATGAAGTCTTCGAATACATTATATTCCGTGGAAGTGATATTAAAGACCTCACTGTTTGTGAGCCACCAAAACCACAATGTTCTTTGCCTCAGGACCCTGCTATTGTTCAGGTAACTGATAGCGAATCTGTCTTTCAGTGGAGTATAAATTTCACACATATGGCTAGCCTTGCCTGTCTTTCCCAATTAAGTGTTCGTAGAGCTTACCATTTGAAGTTACCTGGATACTTACAATTACCTGTATAATAGTCTTACCTAGATTTTTTTCTTTGGGTCATAAATTGGGATTAAGTAGGGTAAACATAAATGAAGACTTTATTTTTATGATAAAATATTTTACTGTTACAATGGCTAACGTATTGAGAGCTATCTATAAGATGTGCTTTTCAAAGTACAGTGTGCATATTATAACCATGAGAAGTTGATATCATAATTTTTCTCTCTTTTACAAGTGAGGGAATTTAGAGCCAGTTTGAATGGATCCAGGGAATCAGGCACCAGAATCTAAGATCAGCACTACTACACTGCTCAGATAATGGCTCATGTACAATCTAGAATGACAGTAGCACTCTTACGTGAAATTACTAAGTAGAATGGGGAAAAATGTTGGATCACATTATGTATGATTTGTAGTGATAAATAAGAAGCATAAGTAAGGGGCTGGGGATTTAGCTCAGCACCATAAGCGCCTGCCTTGCAAGCATGCAGTCCTGAGTTCAATCCCTGGTACAAAAAAAGAAGAAGAAGCATAAGTAAAAGGATTTTAATATAGATAAGTTGCTAAATTTCCTAAATAAAAAAACTTTATTGTCAGAAAAATTGAAATCCTTTTCAAAAAATAGAAACATTTTATGAAGAAATAGAAATACATGCCTAATGAACTATAAATTATGACTTAAAGAGGAAGGAGATCCATTACATTAAGTCCTTGACTTAGCAATGAGTTCCATTCCAGAACATTCATAAGTCCTACAAAGTAAGTCTCATACACGTTTGATGTTTGGCACTTCCTAGCAGTCCTCTCCACAGCACCACTGCTTTCACTCTTGCTTCTGGACGTCCTAAGCGCTGATTGAGCACTGTACTACCGTATACTATTGCACTGTAGAGTAAGCACACGGCAGCACAACTGTGACAGTATCCAGGGCATGAGCTGTTTCTGCAATTTGTTTATAACTGTGTTTTTGTTTGTTTGTTTGTTTGTTTGTTTTGTTTTGTTTCTCTTTTTATCTGTACCAGGGATCGAACTCACAACTGCCTGCTTGCAAGGCAGGTGCTTATGCCACTGAGCTAAATCCCCAGCCCCATATAACTATGAATGTTCATAATATGAGGTCCATTTGTATCTGTAAAAGTTCACAACTCAAATATTTGCAAATTGGGATCTTACATATGGTGTGTACTTACATGTTCATTAGAGGAATATAAAAGCTCTTTGAATTTTGAATATAGCAACAGAAGCCCTTTCACATAAGAATACTTTTTGTAATTTTTTGTATTTTGAGACAAGGTCTCATTGTATAGTTCAGACTGACTTTGAACTCATTTTGTAGCCCAGGTTGGCCTTGAACTCGCAGCAATCCTCCTGCTTCAACCTCCCAAGTGTTGGGATTACAGACGTACGCCACCATGCATGGCCAACTTTTTGTTTTGTTTTATTTTTTTGAAACAAGGTCTTACTGTGTAGGTCCAGGCTAGCTTCAAACTCACAATGATCCTCCTACCTCAACCAAGTGCTGGAGTTACAACCATGCCAGGCATGTGTCGGGTTTTTGGTTTTTTTGTGTGTATATATGTGTGTTTATGTTAGTCCTCCAACTCAAGATCTTCTGCCTTGGTGTCCCAAGTGATGGGCTCACAGGTTTGTGTACCATGCCTGGCACATAAAGAATACTTTTACTTGTTAATATAGCTGATTAAAAGTTAGGGCCCTCCTATGGTTTTCCTTCTGTATTCATTTTTTTTAACCTTTTTTCTTGTCATGAATTTTTGTCAGCTGTACTAAAATGTGCATGTTGAGTTTTTTTCTCCATCATAATACTTTTAAATTGTTTTATATTAACTTTTTCCCTTTTTTATGCCATGAATGATAAAATCTTGTATTTCACATAATTTTTTTTTCTTTTTGATAGTATACTGTGGATTAAACCCAGGACCTGATGCATGCTAGTAGACAAGTACTCTCCCACTCGGCCATATGTCTTGCTCTCGTCTTTTTGAAACAGGGTTAGGCTGGCCTGGAACTCACAGCGATCCTCTTGCCTCAGCTTCTCAAATTCTGGAATTATAGGCATGCATCACCTCACCTGGCTACCCCTCCCTTTTTATTCTGTTCTTTCTGTTTGTTTTTTGTCTTGTGGTACTGGATATCCAATGCAAGGTGCTTTCCCAGTGAGTTACAGCCTTTTTTTTTTTTTTCCCTTTTCTTTTTGGAAACAAGATCTTGCTAAGTTTATGTTGCACAAATAGGACTTGAACTTTTAGATCCTCCTGCCTCAGCTTCTGTCAGTGCTGAAGTTACAGGCATGTGCCACTGTATAGGACTTCTTTTCGCCCTTTTTTAAGTTTGTTTTTTTTTTTTTTAAGAAAGAAATCTAAAGGAATCCTGACAAATATGAATCTCTTAGATGAAGAAAGAGAAGACACATCTTTAGATATTCTGCAAAGTAATTATTTTAGTAGTCATTTTTATAGGAAAAGAACAAAAAGCACAAATCTTAATGGTATTGAATTTCTTAATCTTCAATTTGATTTTTTATTCATTCAGCAGTATTTATTGAGTACCTGTCATGTCCTTGGTATTAGCAGTAAACACAAGGTAATATTCTGCCGTACTGGGCTTATACACCAGTACCCTTTAATATAGTTCATTTATATCATTAAATATTTTATAATAAAGTAAATAAAGTGTGTACGTATTAAAGTATATTCAAGATGTAATAAGTTAAAGTTTATATAAAGTGTTCCTCACCCTACTATAACTGCATGTAAAAATGTATATGGTTTTTGGGGGATATGATTGAAAGCAAAAGAAAAATCACAGGTAAGATGCTTATTTATGTGAGTATCAGACTGAAACTCAGTACCACTGAATGTGATTTTTCTTTAATTAATTTACTTACTGGAGTAAACTTTTCATTTACTCATTTCCTGAATCTACTATAGAATTCTTAGAGTATATATTACAAAGGTTGTAAATCACATTGTGTATAATTGACACATGTAGACAAACACTGAAATCAGAATGTTAAACTATAATATGCTTAACTGTAAGTTATTGTAATTTATTTTGTTTCTGTTAGTTACAATCTCATGCTTTTATTAGATTTTTAAAATATGAATTTCTCTTTATTATACACATGTTGCTTAGTGCTTTGAAAAATGACTTTATTTTCTTCTTTCAGTCTTCATTAGGTTCATCTACTTCTTCATTCCAGTCAGTAGGTTCCTATGGACCTTTTGGCAGGATGCCTACATACAGCCAATTCAGTCCAAGTTCATTGGTTGGGCAGCAGTTTGGTGCTGTTGGTGTTGGTATGTGGTTCTTTTTTTAAAAATATATATGTGTAAAAAAATAAAAATAAAAAATATATATGTATATATAATTTCCCTTTCTTTATCACAAAGGTATAGAAACTTACTACAAGATCTTACACATACTTTTAGAAATGTTTTTTGATGTTCCTTTTATAATCTCATGTATTTTCTCAGGATTTTTATGGAGTAAAATCACCAGGTAAAGTGGGTCTAAAGTTGGGGGACACTGGGAACTCATAAAGTTGGCAGGCATGAGGAGGGATAGAGCTAGGTTTGGCCAATATGATTAATAGCTTGGATAAAATTGATTAAATTGGGAACAAATGGGGAAGAGAGTCATGTAGAAAGCAGGTATTCTTAAGAGAGCAGTGACTCCTCCCTAGGGATTAGAATGGTGACTCCTGGCTTCTCAGAATGATCCAGTCTTCATCCCTAAGGATTATACTTAAGGGTGTGGTTGCATTGTTTTGGCTTCTTCCTAAATTACGGCCCACAGCAAGAGGTGTGTGTCTCTTCCAAGATCATCAGACATCTGGTCCTCTGTCAGCTTCTTCGAGGGCCTAGCCCTGTCTGACTGCCTATAATATTTCTAACTAGCTCAGCTGCCTGTAACAAAATGAGGAACTCGTTCCAGACATACTAGGTTGAGAGTTTCACTTCCCTGTATCACACTAAATGACAAACTGGCATGTAGAGAATGGGGTATGAAAAAAAGGAAAAGAAGAAAATATTTCAGGGAGAAGGAAAAGAGAAAAATAAATAACATCAAATGAAAGAAATTAAGAAGAAAAGACTTTTTTGATGTATTTTTGTATCTGGATGGGAAGACTGGTGGAGAGACTAAACAATAAGGAGGGAAATTTAAAAGAAGATTGAAGAAATCTATGAGAATTCCAGAAACAATATGCTGATTTAAAAAAAGAAAACATGTTCGTATCCTCCTGTGCAATATTTTTGGTGAGGGTTAATCTAATTCACCCTTAAAAGACAATATTTAAACTAAAGCACTAATTAATTATTATTATTAGTCTTTTCATTTTTACAAATCTCTTTCATAGAGATATCAGATAAAAGCAGAAAAAAGAAAAAAATCACAAATGCAAAAACACAGAAGTAGAGTCCTCTTAATCTTATTTATACTGAAGTCCTAATTTTGCCAGTGTGCCTTTTTTCCTCTGTTCACAAATGTAGAAACTTTGCATGGACATCTGAGCCTGTGTCGTTTCTTCTGCAGGCAGTGTTTTGCTTGGTTTCAGTTGTGCTGCTGTCGTAGGGTGGGTGTGGTTACTTGAAAGGCTTTGTTTGTTTGTTCTTTACCTCTGTTTTGTGATTAGATATATTTAGTTGTGTCCAAGTATGGAAGGGTACTGTGTGTTTGCTAAATCTTCCATGGATTTTGAAAAGACTAATTTCGAATATCTTCCCCTTTCCCTCCATGATAATCCTCCATCTGTTCTTTCTTTAACCCTGTGGGTAATTGTAATATGCCATCCCCTCCTACACTGGTCCTCCCCAGCTCCACACCTTTGCCAAATTTTCTATCCATACTTACAAAGATTCACTATCCAGACTTTGAAACAAGTGGTACCTAGGGCTTGGCAGATGTAGGAAGTTTCCCCTGATGCTGTGAGTGTTCACATGCAAACACAAAAAGGCAGGTAGCTGGTGATGTTATTCTGTGGACACAGAACTTGAAGGTGTTTGAAGGACTAATGGAGGAGTTCCTGCCTTGGAACAGCTTGTGTGTCTTTTCTCACCCAGACTGCATTGGTTGCCTCTACTACCTGCTTCTATAACTCATTGAGACATGGCTTGCTAAATGTCTGGTTCAAGGTTCCTAATCAAGATTCTGCATTTGCGTCTACTTTCTCAAGGGTTCACCACCTCTACTTCAGTCATCCTCCAAATTATTCTCTGGCTTTTATTTTTGCCAGTGCCCTGATCTTCAAATATCATGCGTTTTGAACTCCCACCCTCAGTGAGAAGGGAATCAGGATAGGTGTGCAATGAATGGTGGGGAGATTGATTGCTTGACTAGGTGCCAATAGCTGCAGCTCAGCAAAAAAAAAAGAAAAAGAAAAACAAAAGGAATTAACTTTGTGTTGGCACAAATCAAGCCTTCTTTTGTCATTTTAGTCAGTATTCTGATTTTTAAAGGATAATGAATTCTGAATTATATTACCACTATTTATGAGACTTTTTTCCATTTAAATTTTCATATACAGGTGCTCTTCAATTCACAGTGAGCTTTCATCCTAAAATATGAATTGGAAATGAGTCAAAAACACATTTAAAAATGTAGTACCCAACATAGGTTAGTTTGTTTCACTTTAAATATATACCAAGTGGCAGCTGGAAGTTTAACTCAGTGGCACAAGCGCCTGCCTAGCAAGCATGAAGTCCTGAGTTCAATATCCAGTACCAAAAAAAATTTTAAATAAATAAATAAACTCTAGTGTCGGGTAAGCTCTTGTACACACATTTGTAAACATGATGAATATAAAAACCCAAAACATAATATCCAGAATATCCTGGCAGCATAGTGCGCACCTGCGCTCACAGAGAACTGTAACTTGCTGCTCTTTAGTTTCCTAAAAAGGTATCACACTATTTATGGCAAGCCTGAGAGATCAAAATTCAGAGTCTAGTATGTACTGAGAAAACAGGTATTCATGCTATCCTCAAGTCCAAAAAATATTAGGTCAGACTGTCACAAGTTGGGCACCATCTGTGTTATTAGTAGTGCATTGTTAATAGTTTTATTTGCAATTTTTTTCACTACTTTAATATCCTTTTATAGAGAGCTCTTATAAATATAAAAGATCAGCAACCTAACAAAATTGGCAAAGAACTTAATTCACAGAAAAAATAGAAATGATCCTTAAGCATATTGAAAAGGATGTTGGGGTTGGGGATCTAGCTCAGCAGCATATGCACCTGCCTTGCGAGCACACAGTTGTGAGTTTGATCCCCGGTACCAATAAAAAAAAAAAAAATAGGATCTCAAGCTGGGCATGGTAGCACAAACCTGTAATTCCAGCACTCGGGAGGCTTTTTCAAAAAGAAAAAAGCGAAGTGGAATTATGGCACATATAAAGAACTATGGTAGGATATCAAAGAGTTTGCCAGCCATTGAATGTACCAGGGCCAACAGAGGGAGGTTGAGTGGATAAGGAAGCACAGAGCAGCATGAAAGTAAGAATAAACAATAGCTGGCATTGTAGGTATATGCTGTCACACACCACGAGGCTGCTTACCTGGAATCCTGGTATCCCAGCACTCAAGTCACCCAAGGCAGGACCATCAACAAATTTAAGGCCAGCCTAGACTATATGAACGCCATCTTGAACCAAAAAAATTTAAAAACAAATTTTTTTTAAATGAATAATCTATAAGTACTATAGAAACTTCAGATTGACACTGCTAAATATGGCAGAGAACAGGTCTCTTTATAGAGGTTTTATTAATCATACATTACCCAGTCTTTTTGTGATTACTTTAGGCTAAAAGCAGGCCCATAGTCCATTTTCAGGGGAAGCATTAATGCTGAAGTCATTATTGTCTGTTGCCTTGGAAATGGTGACAGATCTCCCTAGTATATGTGTTTGCTGATTTGGCTATTTGTGAAGATGCTTAGTGTTAGAATAATTTGAACTTGGTTTGGTTTAAAATGTACCATTCCTGTTACTTAGCTCTCTGATGTGTGCATCAGCATAACTACATCACTAAATGTTATAAAAGTTGTTTACATCCAGGAATACCACACATTGACTACATACTGGTTTGGTTTTGGGTTTGATTTGGTTTGCTTTGCTTTAAAACCCAGTATTGTTATGCATTTTCCAAACTGTTACTTCATGCACTTAAATTCAGGATTATTCATTTCTACAAGTTCTATGAGAGGGTGTAGGAAGACAGTAACCAATAAAATATTACACTTTTATATAGCGAAAGGTAAAAAACATTAATTTTTTTATCATTAAAAAACATTTCAAGCTGGAAGCTCCTTGACGTCCTTTGGATCAGAAACGTCAAACAGCGGTACCTTATCCCAAAATAGTGCGGTTGGATCTGCCTTTACACAGGATACAAGATCTATAAAAACACAGTTATCTCAAGGTAAACAGTTTTTTCTTCAGATATTTTTATTCTAAATAAAGATTTTTATCTTTCTCTAAATGTAAGAGCTCTTATATTTGTAAATTACATGTATAATTTCAGGTGGATTCTTTACAATCTTTTCTCCCAATTGATGTACTATTGAATTAACTTTTCTTTACACCTTTTAGAAGTCTAAGATCACAAAACTTAACTGGTGAGCATACTCTGTTTGACTTTTGTTTGCAAAGCAATTATATAACTTATAAATAACAGTGTATCAGACCAGTCAAAAATGTATCTTTAAAAATGAGTCATCCTAGACAAATTTGAAATAGCCTTTGAAAAAAATAAACTGTTCCATGAAATTCTTATAGGATGTAGACTATTTCTTCTCAGTGTGTACCACTCACAAAGTGCTTCTAAAAAATACATGTCCTGAGACCTACTATTATCAGAATCCCTGGAGCCCGTTACTTACATTTTAGTGAGTTTTGTGAAGAATCCTGTTTTAAGTTTTTGATCTGTCTTCTATCAGCCAGTCTCTATGATCATAAAACCCCACATCTTCTTTTAATCACCAGTAAACTGGGTATTATTGGTTCATTGGTTTACATGAATCATTTACTTTTGAATAACACGATGTAAAGTTATTTCAAAAAGATGCTATATTTATAATTTTTAAAAGCTGTTGACTGGGCTGGAGATTCAGCGCAGTGGCATAAGAACCTCCGTGACAAGCACAAGGTCTCAAGTTTGATCCCTGGTACAAAAAAAAAGAGTAAAAAGCCATTGACTATAACAATCAAGCCAATCTAAACATAACGTGATATCTCAGTTGTTTTGAAATAGTATCTGCTATTCATGTCAACATAAAATATCTTAATTATTATACATTACACATATTTTAGAATTCATGGGCTGGGGATTTAGCTCAATGGCTTAAGCGCCTGCCTGGCAAACACAAAGTCTTGAGTTCGATCCCCAGTACCAAAAAAAAAAGAATTAGAAACATATTTTAGAATTCTTTCCTTACTAAGGAAGTACTTAATCTCTCTAAGGATTAGTTTCTTAAACTATAAAGTGAGACTTTCCTGGAGTGTTCACACTTACATAACATATATGATCCTCACCACATAGAACATGGTTAGTATAGGTTAACGGTCTTAACTGTAGCTAACATCAAACTTAGCATTAAAGCCCCAGAAAAATTCTTACTGATACAATACTAATACAAATACAAACATCTGCTATTGCTGCTACTCACTGTTTCCTGGAATTTTCAGCTGTATCAGGTACACATGAGGCAGTAAATACGAGGCATAAATATTGGAATTAGCACTAGTTACTAATTTTGTGCTTAGAATTGACAACTCACTGAAAAACAAAAATTAAGACTTAAATTAGAGGTAAAATATAAAATAACCGTGCAAAATTCAATAAGTCTTAAAACTTACCCTATGCTATGAAACAGAAATAAAAGGCTGATAATAATAATGACAGATAGAAGTTTGACATTAATGACAAATATGAAATACATAGGATATATAACTGGTTTCTATGGAGAAAAATGCAAAATGTAATACACATCACATACTATAATAGTGAAGAATGTCTTATTTCTAGATAAACAATTCAGGATAGATACTTTTCATAATAAATTTATACTTTTGATCAGGAAGATTATCTTTAAATGAAGATATAGATCAGAACATACTTAAAAAATAAAAGTAATGGCTTACCTGCTTGAAAGTAAAATATATGTAAGATAAAGGAATACAGGAGTAAATTTTAAGATGAATAGAACAAAATAAAAAGTCAGAAACAGTTCTAGGTTTAAAAATTTAACAGCTGGCCGGTGTAGCTCAGTAGTAGAATGGTTTGCCTAGATGCATGAGGTCCTAGGTTCAATCCTGAGCACACCCTCCTGTTTAAAAAGTAGATTAAAGTGTCAAATTTGTTGGTTGTTGTGACACATGCCTATAATCCTATCTCCTTGGGAGACTAATGCAACAGGATCACAAATTTGATCCCAGCCTGGGGAATTTAACAATACCCTGTCTCAAAATATAAAAGGATCAGGAATGTGACTTAGTAGGTAGAGTACTTGCATAACATACCTGGGTTTAATCCTCAGGACCAAAGGACAAAATTTCATTTTATTGAAAGAAAGTTAGATATATTTACGTGACTATTGTCAAAGACATGGAGCATTAAAATTTCACTAACTAAAAATTCTGAATTTTACAAAACAAAACACCTAGAATTCTCTTTTAATTGTAATAAGAATGTGAAAATTACTTAAAGGAATGTGTTTTTATTATGCTGAAATAGTTTCTGGATTTATTCCTAATACTATATCCACATCACCTATATTTCCCCATTTATAGCAAAATTGGCATCATGATTATAATATGAAAAATAACGAATTAATTTAGTACTTTATTTAATTGCCCTATCCCATGTATTTCTGTAATACTTCTTAGTCACAGCATCTTTTTTCAGAGAGAAAGACTTGAGGGAGCTGGGAATATATAGCTCAGTGGTATAATGCCTTCCTGGCAAACAAGAAGTCATGAATTCGATTATATAATTATTTTGTTATAGACAAAAACTTACATAAACCATCATAATTTTCCCTTACAATTTTTTATATGTACATTTTAGTGTTTCTATTAATCAAACTTGATTTTTAAATGCTTTAATGATAATTTAAATGTTTTGGCTAACATGATTTAGCCATTAATGGCTAGAAGTGATGATACATGTTTGTAATTGTATACTTTAGGTAAAGTGTGAACTTAGGGAGTATTGCCAATAAATTATCCCTGAACTAAACTATTACCAGCACTTACCAGTTTACTGGTTTGGAGCTTATGTGTACAGAGGTATGTGGAAATATTTTGCATAAAATGAGCGTAATATTTAAGCAGAATGTCATATTCTGGTACAGCAGTATTATAGGGACAAAAAAAATGATGAAAGTACTAGTGTTTTATTCTTCTGTTCAGATGGTAGCAAGATTCTGACCTCATAAAAGGAAAAATGGAAATTCTGAAGTTTAAGCCCCAAATTAGCCAAAAACTTACCAAGACATCTATACAGTGGCAAAGAATGAACACGGCTACTATATAATTATCTGAAGGGTTTATTTGTTACTGACCTTTTAGTTTTTATGTTTCATTACCCAAGCCCCAGCCTGAGTTATTTAAAAACCACCTACCTTGGTTTTCTGTGCTTTATTTTGTTGTAATAGAACTCAATGAAACAGTATTGCTTAATAACCAGCTTGCTAAGAATAATCAAATTTGAACTTTGACCTAATAAGCAGATTAACTCTTAATTTTTGCTAAAAATTTGAATTGTTAGAAGTTAAACCCTAGAACCTTTTCAAAAGGGCTAGATTATTTTGAAATTCCCATTAGAATAGTTGATTATCTTTTGGTTACATTTTAGGTCATTCAAGCCCTCAGTTAGATCCTTTGAGAAAAAGTCCAACCATGGAGCAAGCAGTACAGACCGCCTCAGCCCACTTACCTGCTGCAGCACCTGTTGGGAGAAGGAGCCCTGTATCAACCAGGCCTTTGCCATCTACTAGCCAAAAAGCAATAGAGAATCAAGAGCACAGGCGAGGTAGAACTTGAGCTACTTATTATTCTTGATTGACCGATCAGTATTTTTTGTTCACCTCATTAAGAGAATGTTACTTTATAGGGTTGATTCTAGGTTTAAACTGAATTTAATAGAATATTCAAGCTTTCAGGTTTGACTTGAAATGGTATTGGGGAAATTGCACAGGTTTTTTTTTTTTTTATGGGATTTTTTTCTACCCGTTTTCAACTTTACAAAAGTTTTTATGTATCCTGAGTTGATTTGTCACTTTGCATGTCTCCTTCCACAGCTGAATTACACAAAGTTTCAAGACCAGAAAATGAGCAACTCAGAAATGATAGCAAGAGACAAATAGGTAAGTTACTTGAATCTGAAAGCCATATTCTTTGCTTCACAATAGAGAGCATTTTAAATGTATAATACATGATGACTGAAAAAGTGGAACACAGAACTGGACTTGATGGCACAAACATGTAATCCTAGCACTCAGAGGCAGAAGGATGGTAAGTTGGAGCCCAGCCCTGGCAACTTAGGTATCCTGTCTCAAAAAGTGTAGCTCAGTGTAAAGGCTCTGGGTTCAATCTCTAGTAAGAGACAGAACTGTAAAAACAACAGAACAAAATTACTAGGTCTGGGAGTACCTCCATGGTAGAGTGCTATCATGTATGAGATGCTAGGTTCAATTCCTAGCACTACAAAGAAAAAACAAACTGGTGACATCTACCTAAGGTGTGTAGTTCAGTTGATTGATTCCGTGGTTTTGAAAATGAATAATTATGTAATACTTTACCATTAGAAAGCTGGATGGTGGGCTTGATATACCTGTCTTCACTGATTTAAAAATTTTTTATTACTATAATTATTTTCTTTGGGGGGCATTTGGGGTTTTTTGATTTTTTTTTTTTTTTTTTTTTTTTTTTTTTTTGAGAAAGGGTCTCACTCTGTAATTCAGGTTGGCCTTAAAGTCAGTGTGTAGCCCAGACTGTCCGCAAACTGCAGCAGTCCTCCTGCCTCAGCCTCCCAAGTGCTAGAATTACAGTTGTGTGCCACCCACTCACTTATCATTACTTTTAAATAAAGGTTTTGTTGGTGTTCGGGTTTTTGGTTGGTTGGATTTTGGGGTTTGGGTTTTTTGTTTTGTTCGTTTGTTTTTTGGTTTTTTTCCACCCCTGAGATAATGGTCTCACTCAGACCGGCCAGAGTGAACTCAAATTCATGGTAATCCTCCTGTCTTAGCATTGAGAGTGCTGGGATTAAAGAGGTACCTACCACATCTGGCAAATAAAGTTTTTTGTGTGTGTTTGAGTGGATGTGCATGTGTGTGTTGTACTAGAAATTGAATCCAGAACCTTCAGATTTAGCTACAATTCTGCGACCCTTGGTATTTTTTAGTTTGAGGTAGGATTATCTCCTTCAGCCTCCCAGAGTGCTGAGATTACAAACAAACGCCACCACATTGTGAAAGGTTTTATAAAATATTACATCTCTACAAAAAATTCTACTTGATTATAGATTTGTCTTTTCATATGTTCATGACTATTACCTTGCTAGTATGATTCATACATTGATGTTTAGAACTTGGTTCTGTGGCTTGCTGTTTATACAGTTTTTGTATCAATTTCTTATTACAATTATGAAATTGTTTTGATTGTTTCCTATATTTGATTGTTTCCTATATTACATGCTTGGAAAGTTTCTCAGTTGGGTTTGGGAAAGTGCTTTGGTGGTAGAGCATGTATCTATCATGTATGAGGCCCTGGGTCCAATCCATCCTCAGTACCAGAGAGAAAAAGTTTCCTCCTTATAATTACATAAATCCAGCAGGATGTAGTGGCACATACTCATAATCCCATTATTTGAGAGGTTGAGAGAGGAGAAGGATCACCATGATTCAAGGCTAGCATGAACTACGTAGAAAGACCCTGTCTCAAATAGGAAAAAAAAAATTATTCCGGGGCCTTTTTTTTTTTGAAGTGCTTAAGAATTTTAATTTTCTTTCCTGGTTGTTGATTCAGTAAAGTTTTACATTTGCTTTGTTTCATATTCTGTAACATTTACCCAAAGCAATCATTTTATTAATTTCAAATTTATTATAATTTAATACACCTCAAAATTTAAAATCTAATTTCAAAATTACAAATCTAATGTATAATTTTTATTTCATCATTAGAAAGTAGTTAATTTTATCAGTTTAAGAAACCTAGAGTTGGCTGGTCCGATGGCAGTGGGTTATCAGAACTTACTAACATTAGTGTCACTAAAGTTGGTATACTAAACCCCCCCCCCCCCCCCGCTGCTAAATTTGACTGGCTTTAAAAAAATTTAAAAAAAAAAAAAAACCCTAGAGTTGTGCATGATGACACATGCTTGTAATCCTAGCACTTAGGAGACTGAGGCAGGAAGGATGCCACAAGTTCAGGCCAACCTGAACTACAAAGCAAGCCCTTGTCTCAAAAAAAAAAAAAAAAGCAGCAGCCAAGACACAGTGTTTGTAAATGTGTACTTTTTTTTTTTTTTTTTTTTTTTTTTTTTTAATCTTTTTAAGACAAGGTTTTCCAGTGCAGTTGGGAGTTTGGGCTGGCCTGGAATTTGCAGCCATCCTCGTGCCTCAGCCTCCCAAGTGTCAGGGTTAAAGGCATTCACTGCCATGCCCAGCTTAAATGTGTACTCTTATTTCTCCTATATTTTGATTATCTTTTAGTTTGGAAAAGGAGACAACTCTTCTCAAAATACTTGCCATAATTTTATTATCATATAAAGTTTAAAATAAAAATATATTTCATTGCTCTTCAGAACTCAATACTCTATCCTGTCACCAAAGTTCCTTAACTAAATATTCATTCAAATTTTTCTCTTCAATATTACAGACGTAAACATCTGTACTCAGAAGTTTGGTTTGGTTTGGTTTGATTTGGTTAGTTTTGAGTTTCGTTGGTTTGGGGAGTTTTTTTGAGACAGGGTCTCATTATGTAGTTCACGCTGTCATTGAACTAACTATGTAGCCCATGTTGGCCTTAAACTTGTGGCAGTTGTCCTGCTTTAGCCTCCCAACTGCTGGGATTACAGGCATGAGCCACCACACCACCCACGCCCAGCAGTTTGGTTGTTTTGAGACACAGAGTCTTACTATGTAGTCCAGGCTGGCCTGAAACTCACTGTGTAAATCATTGATCCCCTTGCTTCAGCCTCTGGAGTGCTGGGATTATAGTCAGTGCCACCTGCCTGGCTTGATTGAACCCAGGCCCTATTTTTTGCTAGCCAAGTGTTTTACCACTAAATGCTATAACTCCAGCTCCAGAATTTTATTGACAGATCTGCATTTCTAGCATACAGACAAGTCATTTTAGTAGTAAAGTTGAATGTTCTAAACATACTGCTTCTTTAGACTTAAATGTCTGGACATGTTTCTGTGGGCTTTTCTGGCTTGTTTTCTCAAATCCAGGCAGTTTGCCAAACCTCACCAAACAAGTGAACACAAATCTGTATGTATCCTTGTAGTCACTTCTGATCTTTGTCAGCATATATTAAACATTTCACATAATTATAATCATTAAATTCATATTGTTGTTTTATGCTCTGCATTTTTGCAGTGAACTTTTTTTTGAGACAGGCTATCACCATGTAGTCCAGGCTGGCCTCAAACTCACTGTGTACCTCAGGCAGACATCAGACTCACAGCAGACCTCCCTGCCTCAGTCTCCAGAGTGCTGGGGTTGCTGGAATGTACCACCATGCCTGGCTTTTACAGTTAATTTACATCAAATTCAGTTCAGTTTCATATTTCACTTTTTTATTATTTCTCTTATGTTGGCTATTATGTTCCCAAGTTTTCACTATAAAATTATCCTATTTTTGTGTTTTATCAATCTCATGTGATTGACTAAAACGTGTTATGTAGAGAGACTGACTACATAGGTATGTCTAGGAAGGCTTCAATATTGTGTAGTCAGAGAAAGTGAAATGAAGTAGAAGTGTTTGGACCCAGTGAAGACTGGTGCTTCCTGTCCATTTTATAGAAATATACTAATATCTCAAACCTTTTAGTTTGTGCTCATAAACATTGACATATTTTTCTTACTGTAAATCTTCTTTCCCTGACCCGGGGCTCCCTCCAGTGAGGAGCTGGGCCCGCGTTCCCTCCGTCTCTTCCACATGCTGGGGATTTCCCGGGTTGCCCCTCTCCCCGCAGTGGGGGAACCCCAACACGCCAGCCACCATGCACCCACCACCCGGTTTCCCACACTTCACAGAGCGCAGAGGGGGGTAGCTGGGTGGGGGGGGTGTCCAAGGCCCCAGAGGGTGGTGCTGGCCCAAGGTCACCCCATGGCGGTGGGGCAGGGCCCTGCCACCAGGTCCCCTGCGGGTCAGCTGTTGCCTGGCTCTGGGGTGCACTATGGGGTGAGAGAGCGAGGGGAGCCCAGTGGCTTCATCCCTTGGCTTCTGAGACCTCCCCCTTTTCTTGTCGACCCCCCTTGTCCCTCTGTCCCTCATCTCTCAGGGCACTGGGCAGGGGCAATCCTGGAACAAGGGGTGAGGAGGAAGGAGCTGCCTGGGCCCGCTCAGGTTCCAGCTGGGCGCCCAAGTTCACGGCTGGCTGCCACTCCACACCTCCAGACCTGCCCCTCCTGACTGGGGGCTGGGCGTGGAATTGTGGGGGACACAGCAAGCAGACAGTGCCCAGCGTCCAGCGGGGGACCGGGGGTGGGCTCACCCTCAGGCCACCAGGATGCAGAGCCACCATCGGTGAGTTCCTAGCACTCCAAGGTGACTCCTGTTGTAACGAGTCAGAGGGCCTGGCCCCCTATACCCAAGGAAAACGCTGCGGGACTGAAGGGCACAGGCCTGGGGCAGCAGCACTGTGAGCAACCCCTGTGCTCCAGGGTGAGTGAGGCCACACTTGGGCAGAAAGCCTGGCGGCTGGGGAGAGAGTGCAGACCTATGACAGTGGCAACTGGGGTGACAATAGAAAAAAAAGAAAAGAAAAGGAAAAAAAAAATCTTCTTTCCCTTTATCCTTTGCATAAAAGGCTTTCTTTTGAGACCCACTATGTTTCTAGCACTTTGTAGGTTTGGGGACTATAGCAGTAAACAGAACAAAGCCTTTGCCCTTGAGGAATGTGTATTAATTTAATGTAAAGGCTCCAAACATGTTTGGTTATATATTCTATTAATAATGTATATGAGGGGCTGGGGATTTAGCTCAGTGGCATAAGCTCCTGCCTTGCAGGCAGACAGTCATGAGTTCAATCCCTGGTACCGATAAAAATGAAAAAGACCAAAAAAATAATAATAATAATGTATAGGAGTATGGAACCCACATATACAAACATTTATCATTTTATTTATGCTAGTCTTCATGTATTACATTTTAGCAGTTAATTTCTTTTATGTAAAAAATATAAACAGTAATGTCTACAGAGGCTTTTAAGCATTTCTGGTTTGGGCCATTTAGTGTAACAAGTATAATGACAACTTCTGCCCTAAGCCAGTGATAATGTACTAAGAACCCTTTGTATAAATTCTTTTTTTTTTTTTTTTTTTTTTTTTTTTTTTTTTGTCTTTTTCATTTTTATCGGTACCAGGGATCGAACTCACGACTGCCTGCTTGCAAGGCAGGTGCTTATGCTGCTGAGCTAAATCCCCAGCCCCATAAATTCTTTATTTACATAGTTCCAGGTGCTCCTGCAACTCCAAGAAGAGGGCGTGGAGGTCATCGAGGTGGCCGGGGACGGTTTGGTATCCGGCGAGATGGTCCAATGAAATTTGAGAAAGACTTTGATTTTGAAAGTGCAAATGCACAATTTAACAAAGAGGAAATTGACAGAGAATTTCACAGTAAACTTAAATTAAAAGGTAAGCTTTGATTTTTCTACTTAGAAAAATCTTGTTTGTGAACTAAGGATGTTTTCTAGATTATGTATTTAATTTTACTTGGTACAAATTTTATGGTATTTTGCTTTTCTTTAGAAGATAAACTTGAGAAACAAGAAAAACCTGTAAATGGCGAAGATAAGGGAGACTCTGGAGTTGATACCCAAAACAGTGAAGGAAATGCTGATGAAGAAGACCCACTTGGACCTAATTGCTATTATGACAAAACTAAATCCTTCTTTGATAATATTTCTTGTGATGATAATAGGTACTGTCTTTTAAGATGTTCTTCATGCTCTTAGAATATAAAGTATAAAAAATTACTTCCTATATAAATTCACCAGGTTGCCTAGTATGGTAGTGCCTGCCTATAATCCCAGCATTCAGGAAGCTGAGGTAAGAGTATCTCCACATGTTCAAGGCCAACCTGGGCATAAGCACCTGCCTTGCAAGCGCATGGTCGTGAGTTCGATCCCTGGTACTGATAAAAAAAAAAAAGAAAGAAAAGAAAAAAACTACATTGATTAGGACTGTAATCACATTTGTAATTAAGTGTTAATAATTAAGACAGAAGCATTCATTCATGTAAATAAGACTTTCTCCTGTATAGCTTTATACTGTAGTTCATATGAAGCCAGGACCAGGATTATATTTCTTTGACATTTGCTGATGCAGTAAAACTGCCATATTGTAATAAATACGGGTCTAGAAAATTACCAGTACATTACTGTGAGGTGAAAAGACTATGTCTTATAAGAGTTCTAGAAGTTGCCCACTCAATTCATACTGTCTGTTCTGGCTGCAGTTTGGTGCCACCTGGTAACCATTGTTAGCTTCAATTAAACACAGAGAGGGAAGATGATTCTGTTGTGGGAACGTACAGCGCTTGTATGCCATGGACAGCTGAGATGGTTTAGACAAGTCTTTTTTTTTTTTAATGCTTTTTTAATTGAGTTTTTTTTTTTGAGAGGAGCTGTTGGTTTTTTGTGTTTCTTTTTCCCAGTTACATACAGTACCTGCATTTTGAATCTAGGGAGTATTCTTATTTTGAGACAAGATCTCACTAAGTAACCCAGGCTGGGCCTGAACTTGAGATCCTTCCTCCACAGCTTCCCAAGTAGCTTGAATGCTCATTTTAAATTGATTTTTTGTTATTCACCTTAATTTAGGAACTATACTATGTATTTTTGCTGGAAAATGTTCTTTTAAACAGGATATGCTAAAGGTGATTTACTTTTATAATAGAGAACGGAGACCAACCTGGGCTGAAGAAAGGCGATTAAATGCTGAAACTTTTGGAATTCCACTCCGTCCAAACCGTGGCCGTGGAGGGTATAGAGGAGGCAGAGGAGGTCTTGGTTTCCGTGGTGGCAGAGGACGTGGTGGTGGCAGAGGTGGTACCTTTACTACTCCTCGAGGATTTCGTGGTGGATTCAGAGGAGGTCGTGGAGGAAGGGAGTTTGCAGATTTTGAATATAGGGTAAGTCTTGTATGCTTTGGCATTGGCATTCAGTTTTATGAAAGTTTTATTTTGTGTAAATTATTTTGAGAGTATTAAAATAACTTCCCAGTTTGAATTTTCCATGGAAAATATACCTAATAATAATGTTTCTATTTTATGTTGTTTTATTTTTAAAAACAAGGTCTCACTGCGTAGCCTAGACTGATGCTGAGTTTGAAAAAATCCTTCTGCCTTAGCCTCCCTGGTGCCTGTATTACAGATATGTGCACCACCACACCTGGCAATGTTTCTGTAATTTTAAGACAGTAACTTCTTGGCTAATGAGTCTAAAAAATTCTTTATCTGTTCTTAGTTCTTTTCAACTTGAAGTAAGAGATGGAGATATGATGATTTTTTTTATCCGCATCATTGGGGATTGAACCTAGAGCTTTCACATGGAGCTATATCCTTAATCCCTTTTTATTTTTTATTTTGAGACACAGTCTTACTAAGTTATCCAGGCTGACCTTGAACTTGCTATAATCCTGTCTCAGTCCCTCAAAACTACAATTGCAGATGTGTACCATTGTGTCCAGCTAGAAGTATAATGCACATTTTTTTATGTAGTGCCATAGTTTTAGATTTTGTGAACTACTTAGGGAAAAAATATTCCGCCCATCCCAAATCTGTGAAGAGATTGAATTAAGGTTATTTCTTCTTTAAAAGAAGGGTTTTTTCTTCTTAAAAAGACTTGGTGGCAGCCAACTGTGATCCCAGCACTTGGAAGACTGAGGCAGGAGGATCATTGTGAGTTTGAGACCAGCCTGGGCTACAAAGTGAGCTCAAGGCCAGCCTGAACTGCATAGTGAAACCCTGTCTCAGAAAGAGGGAAAAGGGGGTGGGGAGTTTCCTCAGCACAGACAGCATAAACTGCTTTGTGTTCTTTCTGCTTTTCCATCCAAAAGGCTGGTATGGGCGCATGTCCTTGTTAACTGTTGGACTGGCCTTTCCTCCTTCATTCACTGTGCTGCAGATATATGTACTTACTCTTGCTTAGTGCCCAGATTGTTCCTATCTCAAGATTGGGAGGGGAGGGAATTGTTTTCTGGCTTTTTGGAAAGGTTTTCTGTTTGTTTGTTTTTGTTTTGGGGTTTTTGAGACAGGTTCTTGCTAGGTAGCCCAGGGTAGCCTCAAATTCATGGTAATCCCTCTGCCTCTGTCTCCCTAGCGCTAGAATTACAGGTGTGCACCACCTCTGGCAACCTTGGGACCTTTTTACCCAGTTTTTCTGCCTAGAATATTCAGTTTACAAACTTACATATATACTCACATGCTCAAGTACTCTCATTGTTCACTGCCCCTCCCCTTGGGGAGAGGCCTTACTGTGTAGCCCAGACCAAGGATCGTCCTGCTTCAGCATTCCAAGTACTGAGTTTACTACATGTACCACTGTGTTGCTTTCTTCTTCCCCTTTTGTGATCTCTTACATGCAGAGCTTTTTATCAATTATATCAGCTTGGACTTTGTATGTTTCTGCCCTGCATTTCTTTCTTTACCTGCTTTGTGTCTGCTGTCAGCATCCTTAGCATTTTCTTGCTCTTTGGCTTTGTACACTTTGTCTTCTCCCAGTGTTCTGTGTTGGCTAGTCGTATACTCCTTACGTGATGGAGGTACCTTGATCATGATCCATTTCTACATGACCATATTCATTGCTTTAGATGTCCTTCCAGCTACAATGATAACCTACTATAGGTCTTCAAATCTTCATTCTCTGTTTACTCTACTTCAGGTATACCAGGTACTGCTTAAAGCACCCAAGGACAATTTTTTGTTGAAGATCACATTGAATCAGCTTGATTTGAAAAAAAGAAAAAAAAGTATGTTTAAGATTAGGTACAACTGAGGATTACAGTAATAGTTGCCAATGTCTCATTAATGAGTAAGCTGCTTAGACTGTCAGTTTTAACAACTGTGAAAAGATAATTTTAATCTACAATACAAATTTAAAGATCATTAAACTTGCCAGGAATGGTGGCACACACCTATAATCCCAGCGCTCTCAGAGGCTGAGGCAAGGGAATTGTTGCAATTTCATGACCAACCTGGGCTACAAAGTGATCTCCTGACTGAACTGCATAGGAAGACTGTGTCTCAAAAAGACACACACACAATCATTATACTCTGAGTTTCAAAACAGCTGAGAGGCCTGACCTTCTGCATGAAGCTTCTTCTGTAGTGCTTGTGTGGAGCTAGGCCATCCACCCCATTCCCAAGAGTTCTAATTGTCAGCCTATCACAGACACCACACCACACACTTTTGAGTGAAAGCTCTTCCCTTCCCCCCCACCCCTTTGAGGCAAGGTCTTACAATAATTTAGGCTGGCCTTGGGAACTCAACTGTGTAGTCCAGGATAGCCTGAAACTCACAACAGTCCTCCTGCTTCAACTTCTTGAGTACTGGGATTACAGATATACACCACCATGCCCAGTAGTATCTTTACCCTTTGGTTAAACTCTATCCATTATAAATATACAAGGTATGTATCCTTCATGATATTTTTTCAAATATTCGTAAATGTAGCTGCTTAGTTTTCTTTACCTGACTGGACTATTATCTCTGTGAACATCAGTCAAACCTTTATTGACTTAAAACTGTGTACATGCTGTATGTACTAATTAATACTTAGCTTTCTTGAAGTAATGTGATTTTTGTTTGAGCCTTTTGTTAAAACTTTCTCTGTATATTGCAGAATTTAAGCACATTGTAGACGTTATCTGTGAGAGTCTTTATTCCCTGTATGAGTAACAGATAGTCCAACATCTGCTTAAATATTTCAAAGAAGACTCAGATCCCTGAAGCATTGTTCTGATGATGAGAAGGCTCTAATGTTACATTGGACTGCCTCCTGTTCTTACTGTGTGAGAAGAGCACTTGATATTTGCAGCTTCATTTCACATTACCTTTCAGTGTACCTGATTAAAGCAGATTAAGTCAACAGTCATTTCTTACACACTGCTTGATTCCAATCCTAACCTCAAGCTTTTACCAACTATACTAATTCTTCCTATAAACCAGGCACTCTGCTAGGCACTGATATAACAAACCAATATAATTCCAGCCTTTTTGGTATTTACAGACAAGAAGGGACACCGGCACAGCTAAAGCCAGGCATCCTTTTTCACTTACCCTACACAGTCTTGCCCAAAGTTTACTCTGTCTCTGGAAAGTCCTATTCATTCTATACTGATTACTTTTCTGACCTCTGTAGTATCTGCCTATATAGGCACACAATTTAAGTATATTTGTACCCTGCTTCCTGTATTTTGTTTTGTTCCCAGCCCAGTGGGAACTTTTTTCTACTTTTCTTTCCACCAAGACACTTATCTTAGTATACAGCCATAGTGGGCTTGAAATTCTTACTGTGTTGGTTAGAAGAAATTCACGGCTTTTGATCTGTCGCCCACACTGGTAATTCCAGCTGCTCACAAAGCTGAAGCAGAAGGATTGTAAGTTTGAGACTAAACATGAAAAGGACAGATGATGCACACACTCAGTGATAAAGCACCCCCAGGGTTCCATCCCTACCACCACAGAAAAGAAAAAAACACAAAGAGAAAATAAATTAAATATTTCAGCCTTCTACAAAACAAGGTGTGTCAGTGTAGCCAGCACTGCAACTGTGCATTACAAAGTTGAGTGACTCTTCTCTCCACCAAGAGTCCTGACCTTAGCAACCTGTATCTTTTAAATCATATGATCTGTGCATGAAGGAGATTTAATTTGAGGATTAACTCATTTCTGAAACATCATCTGCTTCTCTACAGAGATGGGTCATTGCAACAGCCTTCATGAAATGAGTTAGCTTGGTTCTTTGTTTAGTTTGTGTCTGAGCATACATAAGTTTGGTTGTTTTATGAAAACATAAGTAAACATGGAAAGAAGATTTTTTTTTTTCTTTTCTTTTTATCGAACTCACGACTGCCTGCTTGCAAGGCAGGTACTTATGCCGCTGAGCTAAATCCCCAGCCCCTGGAATCATAGGTTTTTAGAGTCCTTTAAAAATCAGCCAAACCAGAACTTCTCATACTCTGCCCATATAACACAGGAAATTAAGTATCCTGAGAAGTTGTTTGTTCCAGGTGCAAAAAGCAAAACAATGCTAGAACTCACCATCTTGATTTTTAGTACAGTTTTCCTTAATGATAATATTTTAAATGTAAACATTTGGTCCTGTGGTGTTTTTGTCTCTTTTTTGGGGAGTAGGAGTGGAGATTAGGATTGGATCATAAGCATGTAGCCAGCTCTCATTTTATATGCTGCTGCCAAGATGCTTAAACTTAACACCATGATGGACATGACCGTGCGTTTGAGTGCCATGTTTTTCAGACAGGATGCAGAGAAATGAGGCATCTGAAATGACTCAGCATGATACTCTCTTCCCCTCCTTCTGTTCCCTTTTTAATTTTCTCCTCTCCCTTACCTCCCCCCCCCCATCTCTCTTCCCACTTCTCTCTTTCCCTCTCCCCATCCTCCCCTGTCTCTTTTTTTTTTTTACCTTTCAGAAAACTACAGCTTTTGGACCCTAAAAGGTCTGGATTGTCATACTGCTTTCTGAAAGGTAAAAAAAAAAAGGTGGGGAGATATGAAGATTGGCTTTGGTGGGCGGCAGCAGATTCATCTATTTCTTGTACCAACTTAATACTGTCCCATATTTCTTTCAATATAATATTCTCTAAGTGATTTGGTGTACATAGATGAAGTTATATATGAGATTATATTTGAAATCCAGCTAGATGAAAGAAAATATCTTAACAGCAAAAGTAAGAATTAGTACATAAAAATTAGGTACCTCAGTGTCTAGTAAAGATTGGTTTCAGGATTGCTGTGAATACCAAAATTCCCAGATTGTTAGATCCCTTTATAGTACAGGGTTTGCATCCACTCTGCACACATCCTCATTTTATTTTGGGGTGCTGTGGATTGAACCCATAGCCCCACCCATACTAAACATGCATTCTTCCCCTGAACTACACTAACAGTCCCCTTCTCATGTATTTTAAATCCTCTCTAGGTTACTTGTGTAAATACCTAATACAATGTAAGCACTTTGTAAATAGTTATTACATGTATTATTGAAGGAATGATTACAAAAACATTTCTGTATGTGCAGTACAGATGTAACCTGCTCTGTTCCCTAGTTTCTGTGTGGTTCATTCAGTCTGTGGATACAAAATCCAAGGGATATGGAGGCCAACTGTATATGACAGCAGCTAGACTGGAGGAAAACAGAAGCCCTGTCTCATGCTGTGGTACATCCTTTAGTTTGGAATTGGAAATTTCACTGGAAAATTTTATTGCTTTCTCACTGATGACATTTTTTAGAATTTGTTTCTAGGGCTGGGGGATGTAGTTCAGCAGTGCAGTGCCTTGCTGGCAAGCACAAAGCCCTGAGTTCAATTTCAGTACCCCCTGCCCCCAAAAAAAGAATTCCTTTCTGAAGAGGTTTTTTTATGAGTTGGATTTGTTTTGTTACATTTTGTTTTTTGGACTAAAAATCAAACTCAGGATCTCGTGCTTGCCAGGCAGGCACTATGCTGCTGAGCTGTATCTTCAGCCCTAAAGAGTTATTTTTAAAATAAATTTCTAGGAGCTGGGGATTTAGCTCAGTGGCTTAAGTTCCTGCCTGTTAAGTGCAAGGTCATGAGTTTGATCCCAGTACCAAAAAACAAAAAAGAAGTTGCTTAAGATAAATTTCTAAATCATTGCTTTCTTCTGGCATGAAATTTTGAAGGTGGGGCTGGGGATTTAGCTCAGCGGCATAAGCGCCTGCCTTGCAAGCAGGCAGTCGTGAGTTCGATCCCTGGTACCGATAAAAACGAAAAAGACAAAAAAAAAAAAAAAAAAAAAAAAAGAAATTTTGAAGGTGTTTTACTGTCTGAGCACTTCATTTCTTAGTAAAGGCATCAAAGATAAGAATTTTTTTTATCTCTAGTACCAAAATGAAAAAAGGATTTTTAGAAAGCTTTCTGATTATTTTTTAAGGATGTAGTCAGTTTTAGTGGATGAGTTTGACTATGAAGTTAAAGGTTAAAGTTATATTGCTGTTTTTTAAAATTACTGGGGCAGCCAGATGTGGCACACCCTGAGGCAGGAGAATTGCCACAAGTTCAGGGGTGGTCTGGCTGCATGGTGAGTTCAAGGCCAACTTGAAATACATAGCAATCCCAATTCTGCAAAATAAAAAAAAGAAATACATACCAAGACCCTGTCTCAAAAAAAATGTAGAAAAGACAAGACTGACTAAATTTTTAAAAATAAAGTATTGGGGCAGCCAGAAGTTGTAGGTACGCCTGTATCTTATTGTGGCCTTCTTACCAGGCTCAGCTCATAATACTACTGCTTTAATAGAAAATGCACTAAATAAATATTGTGTTACTATTGATATACAAATTATAAAAAATACTTCCTGGAAATTGGTTTAAACAAATACTTTTCATAAAGTAAAAAGAAGAGTATATTTAAAGGTAACAAAGTAAATGTCAGAAAACTAAAACGAAGTACTTATTAATAAACCAGTCATAGGCTGGGGATTTAGCTCAGTGACATAAGCATCTACCTGGCCAGTGCTAGGCAGTGAGTTTGATCCCTGATATCAAATAACAATAATAATAATAAATCAGTCATTGGGCTGGAGATAACAGCTCAGTGGCATAAGTGCCTGCCTGGCAAGCACAAGGTCCTGAGTTCAATCCCCAGTACCCCAAAAAATAAATACATGAACCAGTCATCTGGAACATAAGCTAATTTCTTTTTTCCCTTTTTAGAAAGACAACAGAGTTGCTGCATAGTCTTCAAACAAGTCATTGAAAGTGGGTGAATTTGTAGCTCTTCATGGTCCTGAAAATTGGTTTCAGTCTTTGTGAAGAATGAAGAAGTGAATTTGCTGTATATTTGTCACCAGCACTGGGTTTTGTTTATTTTTCTGCTTAATTTCAGAGATACAACACAGTTAACTTTTGGGGGGAGGAAGGCTCATGTTTTAAAATGAGCATTAAATGTATTTGGAATAGCAGAAGGTTAAGCAATTTCTTATGTATAGTTAAACTAAAGCAGTACTCCAGTGGGACTTACAAGTATTTTTTCATCACTGAGAGGATTTTTCTTATCACTAAATTGTATTTGGCAATTATTGCAAGTTGCCTGCAAATAGGGCCATGATACTGTGTTTTGAGCCACAGAAGGTTGTGCGCGTGTATGTGTGTGTCTTTTTCTTTCTTTTTGGAAATCCTGTAATATGAGGTAGTTTATTTTGTCAATTAATTAGGGTGCTGGATGGTAGAGAATTTTGTTAGTCAACTATGTACACACAGTAAATACTGTTTCTTAGGCAAAGGTAACTTTTTTATATAGTTGTAAAATTCCATTATATTCCATTGCCAAAGAAACATTAAGAACTTTGTATAGCTGTATAAAAAGCAACTAATTTTTTAAAGAATAAACATTTTAAAGTCAGCAAACATACTGTGTCTTTGCAGAAGTTGATATGCTAAAGAGAAAGTTATGGATGGGTCTCTTTTTTTTTTTCTTAGCTTTCCAGGCTTAAGATTTTTTAATTTCAGTTTTTAATGTTTTGAACATAAATGAAGATTTGATACATTCTTCCAAAAGGGTAAATTATTCATGCTCAGTGTAAGAACTTCATTTTGTAGCAAATGACATATCACAGGATTTGTTAAATAATAGATATTTTCAGTATATGAATGTAAATAATCATAGATAAGAATGTACTTAGCTGTATTTTCAAATAAGTAACCCTCCCCCCTTTTTTAAGACACTGAAACTAGGCATCAATTAACCTGCTCTTCCTGGTATACCTGATATTTTGTTACAATGATGATTTCATTCCATTATACTTCAGAAAGATTCAGAGTGTTGAAAATTATTTTGGCAACCATAATCTATATCACGCAGTAACACTTTTCTTGGGCCTGTGACCCACAAATGACTCAGAATAGAGTTCATTGCTAATTATAAATTACTAATCAATCTTTTTGAAGTTTTAAGTAATGGAAAAAATTAGCCACTTTTGTGTTTTTATGAAGCCCATGTAATAAAAGTATCCAAAGATTTAAATATTTTTATCTATTTTGATTTTTGTTAATGCTATCCTTACAACATTCAATAGTGATAAAGATGTGGAAAAGTATGCTATAGAAGAATTGGAATATTTAAAAATGGTTAACATTTTTAATTTTAATTTTATATCTTTTGTATAACTCTACAGCAAAATGTTTTGTAATTTGGTTTCATTGCTAAGATCCAGTATTTGGCAGCCTTAGTTTAGATAATATTGTTTAGTACTATTTGCTTGCATGTTAACAACAAAATGTTTGGAGGACCCACAACACATTTCTAAGGCATTCTGATCATCAAAGCAAGTGCGTATGGCAACACCTTAGCAGAATAAGATGTTCCAGGCTGATTTCAAGAGGAAAAACTGTAATAACAGTTCTACATGCTCTGAAAGTATGAGTTCATGTGTTTTCCCAGCCATCTGGGTCACTGACTGGGGCATTTGTTGTCCCAGTAACAAATGGCAGCATGACATACCTACAGTGCACCTTACAATATTAGCAAAGTTTTTATTCTAAAACAGAATAAAGCTGTTCAATAAAAAATGTTCGTCAGTTCTTTCTCTTTAAATAGTAACATTTTCTTCTATTAGAAATATAATAGGGGCTGGGGATTTAGCTCAGGGGCATAAGCGCCTGCCTTGCAAGCAGGCAGTCGTGAGTTCGATCCCTGGTACCGATAAAAAGGGAAAAAACAAAAAAAAAAAAAGAAAGAAAAAGAAAAATATAATTAAAAGCATTAAAATAGATCAGAATTACAATAGTTGTATGTTCAGTGATAACTAAATCAAATTCTAATTTTTTCTAACATTTGTTTATTGTTGAAAAGCTGAAAGTCTCCTGAGTGTAACCACTCCATATAAGATCTGTGACATGAAGATACTAAGCCAACCTGAAAGAACCAAGCTGGAAACCAGTCTAGAATTGACCTGACCCCTGTGGATGAAAAAGATGGGTTGAATGGGGTGTTGTTCAGTGGTATAGCACTTGTCTAGTATGTTTGAGGCCCTAGAAAAGAGAGAGGAAAAAGACAGGAATTCAAAGACAGGACTTGCATAAGTGGTAGGAAAAGAGGTCAGGCGTATTAATCGGTCTCACTGGCTCTGCATCAATAGTTGAACTGGCAAATACTTAGGAATGTGAGGGATGTGTTTTGATTATTACAGTGACCAGGGACTAGCACTGGTATTCAAGAGTTACAGGCTAACTGTGGTGGGAGCACACTTGAAATCCCAGCACTTGGGAGGCTGAAGCAGGAAGATAGCAAGTTCCAGACATGATGAGTGCAAGGCTGACCGAAAATACACCACAGTATCCTGTCTCAAAACAAGTTACAAGCTAGGGATCATAAGTGTTCTATGCTGCACAGGACAGTACCACGTGATAAAATTTCCAGCTGAAACTGCAGTAACATCTCTTATACTGAAAAAATACCAGCCAGTCTCTTCACATGAAAGTAGATAGGAAATTTTTTTTCCTGCCAACTTTTAAATAAATCTTTACTACTTAAAAAATTGTTTTAGCCAGGCTTAGTTTACACACTTATAATCCCAGCACTAAGGAGACTGAGGTAAGGTAGGAGGATCGGTGTGAATTCAAGGCCAACCTGGACTACAAAGTGAGTTCAAGACCAGCCTGAACTGCATAGTGAAACTCTTGTCTAAAAAACCAGTAATAATTTCATGGATTGTAAAAGGACAAGATACAGGTCTTATTTCGTGTGGTACTGTCATTTTGGAAACCCATTGTAGGAGTTATTACTTTATTGTGTCCTCTCACTGATTCCCAAATCTTTGATCAGAACCTAGGGGCTCTCCACCCCTTGTACTGGGGATTAAACCAATGGCCTTAACGATGACCAATATCTCTAGCATTGTTTTTAGACAGATTGTTCAGCCTCATTTTGAATGTAATCTGTCTCAGCTTCCCAGAATGTTGGAATTCTGGGTATGTGACCACTCCTAGCTCTGAGGAACATTTTTAAAAAACAGATTCCTGGGGGCTGGGGAATCAGTTTAGCTCAGTGGCATAAGCACCTGCCTTGCAAGCAGGCGGTCGTGAGTTTGATCCCCGGTAAAAATGAAAAAGAAAAAAAAAACCAGATTCCCATGCCCAAAACCCAGATAATGATTCTGAAGCTCTCCACTGGGGCCTGGGAATGTGTCTTTTTGTAGTTTCTTCAGTAGTGCTGTGAGATACTAGTCTTACAGTTTATGCGTGTTTGAAGAGAGTCACACAGCACACAGTCACACAGTTGGCTTTCTAACACACCCCCTCCTTTGCAAGCCTTGGTAGGATTTCCACTGTGGGAATATCTGATTTTCCCCATCCAACATCCAATGCTACAGGCTGTATCTCTAGCATAGAGGGAAGTGACTAGAAGGCAGATTTCTACATAACAATCAGGGGTGGGACGCAGAGGTTGAGACTCAAGTTTCCTTCAGGGTCTGACTGCTTTTAAGTACTGAGGATTTTTTATTCCTAGTAAAGAGCCTCATAATGAGTGTGTGTGATTTCTGTCTGTCTGACAGTTGTCCCTTACTGTGAGTTTTCTGTTGGAGAAGCTGCCCTTGTGGGGCTCCTGTGTTCACAGCAGAAGCTGAGAAGCAGTCCTACCTTTTCCTAAAAAGGGTTCAGTTTTCACTCTTCATGCCTGGATTCAGTATATATCCTCTTGCCCTGCTGACATTAAGCTGATTTAAACTCTAAAGGTGAAAGTCACAGAAAAAAGTAATCAAGGTGAATGATACTTTCCTGTAGTTCAGGTGTCACCAGTTTGTAGTTTACTATTACAACTTTTTAAAAGATTGATGAGGTCAGCTGAGCGTGATTGTGCATGTCAATATTCCCAGCCCATTGGGAGGCCGAGGTAGTAGGATTGTTGATTCAAGAACATTGTGAGGTACATGATGAGACCCCATCTCAAAAAAAAAAAAAACCAACAAAACGAAAAAGATGGCAAATATTAGAATCAGATTCCCAGATAGATACAAGGTAGACCCATTTAACTGAATCTGATGACATTAAATAGATATTTGTGTTGTCTTCCAAAATGAAGACAAGGGAACAATTTGGAGATGTCATCTCAGAGCAAAATGCAGGGAAGGAGCTTTCAGTAGCTGAGGCCAGGCAGCCAGCCACTGGTATGTGCACTAGAAAACTAGAGGTGCACTGCTCTTATGGGAACAAGCCAAGCCTGAGGAGCGATGGAAAGGTTCTCTCCTGTTTATCAGACCCAGAGTTAAGAAAAGTAGGTTGATTGGGTGTAGTGATGCACACCTGTAATACCAGCATTCAGGCAGCTCAGGCAGGAAATTCTCTTTAAGTTTGAGACCAGCCTGGGCTGCATAGTGAGCCCAAAGCCAGCCTGAACTGTGTGATGAGACCCTGTCTCAAAAAGACCAAAAAAATTCCAAAGGCATGAGGTAGGACTGAATCTAATGTCTCTGTTCTTGGTGCTGTGAGCCAGTGGTATGGATGTCCTTTAAATTCCAGCTCAGTTCATGTTTAATGAACTTGGCTGACTGATAAAAATGTTTTCGAGATTAAGTCATAAACACATCAAAATAGACCTGAGTAAAATTCCAGGTCATGATGAATATTGACTTTAAAGAAATGCTTTAAAATATACTGATGCCCATGTGGTTTATAGGGAAACAAAGCAGCTCTGTGAGACCAGAGCATATTTCATTTCAATAATAAGGCTTACTTAGAGTGACTCATAGTCACTCATGGTTTAGTGGCACAGAAACAACTGAGAGCAGCCAGCAAAAGCGCACATGGTCTGGAAAGCCTTGCCTTCTCTTCTAGACTTGAGCAATCTGAAGTAAAAAAATTCCAATCTTGAGGGATGGTGAAAACTCCGGCCCCATATGAATGGATTTTACAGTTACTAGAGAACAGAAACATGTTTACTAGGTGTCTAGATTATACGGCTGTAATCCTGGTGCTCAACTAATCCAGATAATCATTGAGTGCCAGTGTCACACAGGATTGTTGACAATGCACATCCCAACCCTGCAATTCAGGATTTGGTTTATGCTGAAAGCACTGTGTAAATGGTCTCTTGCTGGGTTAACCCTTGGTCCATTCCACAGTAATATTTAATAACCTTTCTTTATTCCCAGGGGAGTCTGTAAACACTGCAGCCTGCAACTTATAAAAGGGAGCTAAATACAGATTTTCTTTTCTATCATGAAACTAATATAGGGAAAAAATAACAGATCTATAAATGTGCAGGTGCAAATTCCCTATGATTTTTTGGTTTGGTTGTTACCAGGGACCAAACTCACAACTGCAGGCTATTATTATTTGGTGACCTTTTCCTCTCATCCCCTTCCACCCAAAGCTGTGGATGCAAAACCATCAACCTTGACTGCAATGCCTCTGAGTTGCAGATTTAAGGATCCCATGCTGGTCTTTCAGCTGGCTTGGTAGACAAGAAAAACAACACCTAACCTTTGCTTAGTAACTGTCCTTAACCTAGGACAGAACTCCAAGTCTGGGGTCTTTTACTTTGTCTGCATGTGTCAACTCCCTTTTTTGTGCTTTCCCCACCTCCATCTCCTAATTTATCTTGCAAATACCCTAAAGTCCCTTGTGCCTCAGAGCGGCTTATGCCCTTGCCTACAGAAGTTTGACTCCAAAGTATGCACTCAGCCACCTGGTCACTGTATTCACTCAGAAGATTGTGTCCTAAGGATGAGAATCACTCCTGGGCAGATTAGTACCACTGAAATTCTAATTACTGCTCTCCACTGGGCCCTTGATGTTACTAATGAAATAAATATATTTCTGTAATTAACCTCTACTGAGCAAGTAGCCTGATAACATTCTAAACAGAACTAGAAACCAGTGGTAAAACTTGCTTCAAGTGCTTTACATGCTCATCCTCCTTGCATATTTGATACTACTTAGAGTACTTCATTCTGTGCTTATTGAACTGACTTTTGTTTTTGTTTTTGTTTTTGATACCGGGAATGGAACTCGACCTTGTACTTG